CAAAGGGTGCATCTGTATCAAGCAAAAGCGACTTTTATTTTCAGTGTTGTATTTTCTTATAAGTGAGGACTTGGTCAAACATTTCATCCACTCTAGGAAGTGTACGATGATCAGAACAGGGCACGTCACCGTAACTTCTTATATGGCTCCCTCAATCACCCACAGCGTGGGAGAGCTCGAGGAGTACAACCTGATGATTTCAGAACTTTATAAATTAGTCTTTAATAAACTGATTAAGTATTTATTTTAATAAAAAAGTTTACAAATGCTTTTCAAGGACAAGTATTTAATTATCACCCCCTACCCCACCCAAACCATCGTAACAGACTCATAGGAAGACGAAACACTTAAAGTAGAAAGCAAACAAAGATCAAAGGCAAGAAGAAGGAAGAAGGAACACTGGCTCACAGCATTTGATTTACTTCTGGACTCGCTTTCTGGTTCTTAAACCTTCAGGGAAAAAGAAAGAAATTCAAATCTTTAATTATTATTTTATAAAAACAAAAGAAGAACAAAAATGTAAATATTTCTACGTACTGTATAGTTATTAGTATTTAAAGTCTAACTGACCATGATGTTTCGGGCCATGAAATTTGTTCACAAAGGTGTAACTGCTAATACCCAGGAAATTGGGGAAACGTCGCTTTTTTAACACGTCAGAAAACCATGCCCACCATGTCTACTGTCTAATCTCAAGTTACATCAAAATCTCTCCCCGGGTCGTGCGCGCCCAAATGACGCCGGGACTAAACTATTTCTCCCCCAAATTTGTGTTGTCAAATGTAGAACATCACCTCTGAACGTAAACCAGAGCGACAAGGTAAAGCATTCATTCCTTCAGGGGAGATGATGAGGCTACACATAAGAAAAGCGAGGAATTTCATTTCCAACGTTTTGCTTTTGAAAGCCTGTTATCTATATACTCTTCCGGCAGTAGAGTACTGGACTATCCCAAAATGTAAAGCCTTTTCCATTAGGAATTAAATAATCCAATGAGTAGCCTTTCAGAAAAGCATCACATCAGATACAGGCAGACGTACCTATGACAGTTCATACTCCAAGATCCCTGGGCTGGACTAAATCAGCGATTCTCTATATGGGGGGTTGGAATTCTGCACTACCAAGGAGACTTCTGCCCAGCTACCGCCCCTACTTCGCCAGCCAAGTAGCGTGTTCCCCCACCAGCCGGCAGCCAGAAGGGCAGGCTTCAGCCTGATGGTGACTGCCTGCTGCTGGCAGGCGAGATGTGGCCCATGTCCTCCCATGTCTCGTGCGTCCTCTGCCAGCACAGAGCGGGGGCACCAGAGCGGGGGGGGCAGCACGGTAGCCCCGTAATCACTCAATGGATGCACCAAACAGCACAGGGATCGATGCTGCTTCTCTCCACGGGCAAAACACCTGCCAGCACGTCTCACTACACACCCTTCCTAGAGGTTTGCAATTACAGCTTTATTTAGTCACTTAATTGGAAGATCAGTTTAAACATTAGTATATTTTATTTTTCCAAGTCCTAGTTTCTATTCTATTGGCATACAGTTCAATTAAAGCAACCTACAAACTTATATGCATATCTTTTCTTTTTTTTTTTTTGCTACTTATAATACATAGAGACTATATTAAAGCTAGTCTAAGCATCTGAGGTTTTTCTTCAACTTTGTGACAGAGCCTTCTATTAAAAATATCACATGGTAGATTTTCAGTGTTTTACTTCCAGAGTTTTGGAATTAATTTTGCATAGAGAACTGCGAATGTGATCCTTTGAGATAGCATAATGGGGTATCACAAAAGCAAGGCCAATAATAAATACCATAGTACTTCTCCCTTTCAGTAAGTTTGGAATCTCTAGCTATCCTACGAAGGACACTAAAGTCACAGCGAGCGTAGCTACTCTCAAACAGTATTATTCACATCAACGTCCAAATTTGAACTTTCAATCTTAAATGTCACTGCTGCTTATTCCGTTCGATCCAGGTGTTAAAGTTTCTCACAGCCACTGAAAATGCTATCACCATCTGGAATCAGTGTTATGTAAATGGAAGACTTTGCTATATGTATCATTTCAATATTTCCCCTAATAATTCTGATTCTTGAGGAATAATATCTATTTCTCTTCTTGTCTCTTCAAAATATAACCATTTTTATAATATAAGAACCTCCTTCCCCCCAAAAAAACAAACCCAATGCTGTTGAGTCGATTCTGACTCATAAAAGGCCAATCATAAGATTAATGGGTAGAAATTTAGTATTTGAAAAATAAAATATGTAATTTGGGATACTCTTCTATGATTTTGCAACACAGAAAGAAAAAAAACGAGAAATTCTTTGTAGGGTGCCCTTAAAAATACTAGCCCACAGATACTCAAGAGGTAAACATATGTCATGCCTTCCTCAAAGAATCCCCAGGAATGGTCCAGAACTCAAGGTATGTCAAAAAGAACACCAACAAGAAGTAAGCTCCTTCCAAGAGCAGTAGAGACAGGGCACGCTAGCCATAAATGTCATGGCTACAGTAACTAATTTTTAGTACAACTCTGAAATTTTGGCATGGTTTTGAAATGCCAGAATATGCATGGTTTTTTAAGGCTTATCATTTTGTGGGGAGGAAAATTACTTGCAGCAAATAACCAAATTTTCTCAATTGGTAAAAATTATGCCTTGCATAAAAATAAAAGGATTAGAGGCCTCTGTTCTTCCTGAAAACCACCCCGCCACCCCCTCTCTTCCTCTGAGAAAACCTACACAATACACATTTTGAAAGCTTTCAGAATGCATTCTTACACAACAGACCCCCAACTATTCAAAATGAGTTTAGGTGTATCAAGAAAATTATACACGCTTTTAAAATGGTCTAAACAGATATCAAAGGAAAGTTGCCCCCATTCTGCTAGGCAAAGCATTCTGAAAGATCACACAGTGAGAAAAGTCTACCACATTGTAAGCCATAAACTGTGTTTGAAAATAAAATTGTTAATGAAAAAGCTGACATTTTTAAAGCTGCTGGTAGAGGTAACCGTTCTTGAAACACATTTATGACATAAACTCTTAAAGCCTGGAGACACAGAATTCACTGAATCGTATTTGTATTTCTTTAAAACAAACAAAAAAACAAAAACCCCAAAGTAATAATGTCCCTTGTCCTTCAAGTTACTTTAAACTAATGAATACAAATACACACATTTTCTTGAAGGCTTAGTTTTTGGTTAGGCGCAACAACTTTTACCATCTTAGGTAATATTTCTCTCATTCATCAGTAGTTAGATAGTAAAATGCCTTAATTTTAACCTAATACTTTAGGGAACAAAATGAATTGCAGTGGGAAAATGAACAGCGTTTTAAGTAAAGCAATTCAGAGCTAATATGAATAAGGGACAATTTGATTAATTTTTATCTTCTTAAAAAGCTATGTCAAAAAAAAACCTGAATTGTTCTTATACCACCTACGGGTCTTTTGTCATGAGCAAAATAACTTAAAAACCAGTATGTTTTCCCATAGTAAGAACCAGCAGTATGAGGGCCGTCTTTAAGATTTTAGGTATAAGAAACATTTTTCCTATTTACAGCATAATTTAAAATCATTTATGGATCTAAACGAATCCTCCGGTCCTCGTGAAGCTAGTTCAGGTAATAAACGCTCTCCCTGTGGTTCGCTTTACACTCACGGGGCGCCAACCTCACAGCAACAAGGCAGGCCCTTGCCCAAACTAAAACAGCCAGTTCTAAAGGGTAAGGATTTGCTGCTAAAGTAAGCTACGAATCTAACTTTATAAAGGCGCCTTAATTTTGCTCTCACTCACTGTCATAGCTGCTGCTGCTGCTAGCCTCTGGCTGAGACACGCTTCGCTGCACAGCTCCCTGGGACTCCTCACTTCCTAGTAACAGAAGGAACAAGACAGGAGAGAAGGCAAGGCAGGAGCAAAGGGGAGATGGCAGTGAGGGGGAGGGACTGCTCCGAAACCTTCAGCCTCAGGGAGAAGGTATCGACTCCCTCTTCAGACAGCTCAAGTATTCTCTTGGTGAATTCAAATAGACCTAAGGAAGTTCTATCCATATACCGTCTGTTTATTCAAAGAACGCGTACCTTCTACGTTTGTTTACCAGCCATGCCCTCCCCCGTGAGTATTTTTGTAAGTACCGCTTATGAAATTATAAAATTAATTAGCATAGCATGCTTACAGAAGTATCTTGTGGGAAGAGGGCACAGTTGGCAAACAAACATAGAAGGCACGCGTAGTCTGTGTAAAAATACGGTCTATAAAATGAAGAAGATGTTGATAACAGCAAGGTGAAGACGACTTGCTTTGAAAGTCGAATACTTTGTTTCCAAAAGCAGGAACCCGTGTCACTGTCAAGGGGAAGTAAATGTGTGACTGACTGGACTCAACAGGACATTCGTGCTTTGATGAAATGTCTTCCACAAGTAAGCCTTTTCTATTCAAAATCGAGAAACATTTCAAGACCAACAAAACAATAAACACAAGGTAGACAGGTAAGAGGGAAATCTGTAATAAAAACAAAAAAAGTATTGCTTCTTACGAAACACAGAACCTGTTTTTCTTTCTCTGAACTACCTCCAGCTGTGCCTACACCTCACAGACTGGCCGTCGTTCGTCAAACCCAGCAGACCACAGTCCGGCCTGGCTGTGCCCTTGACCAAGCCGCTCCCTTCACTAGGGTCGCTTCTCAAAGTGCTCCGTGTTGGAAGTGCCCCAACGTTCTCTTCAGAGCCATCTAAGAAAACCAGCCCCATGACTGCGTATCTTGCTTTTGGCTTCAGGAGCTTTGAAAAGAGATGATTTGAGGTTTGAGTCCCTTGCCTCCCAACTTGTGGAGAGAAAAGAAGAGCTGGCAGACTTTATGAGGAACCGTTAGGTAACTCGGATAAGTGGAATATGGAAGCTGCCAATGAGCCCTGTACTCATCAACTGACCCTGACGTGAATCAGCATCCCGGGGTTATGGATCAGCACGAGGAAGTGGAAACATGTGGCCTGAGAGTTAGCATTTCTGGTCTCTACCTCGAACCCCTTCACGATGGCTCTGTCATTTAAATGCTCAGTGTCTCAGGCTCCAAATCCGCAAAGAGCAGCTCCCCATCCCAACTCCATGACTGTTGTGAAGAGTAAGACAGTGTGTACACAAAAGACGTCGTGGTACATAACGTACGATCTTCTCAAAGCGTTATAACCTAAATAGTTAATCCTTCTCTAGCGGGAAGAAATGAAACTTGCGTTAATACATGGAAGAAGCTGAGACAGACTGTTGCACTTACGGGATGGTGGGAACGCCTCTGTCTTTGGGCTTGAGCACTCCATATCTTCAACACTAGATTCTGTGCTCTCTTCAACTTCTTTCTTCCGCTTCTTACACATAAAAAGAAAAATTAAAAAAGAGAGATGTGGTCTGATAGTCAAATAAGTAAATTTACAAGCTTACTGTACATTAAACCAAAAAAAAAACAAACCTGTTGCCGTTGAGTCGAGTCCGACGCATAGCGACCCTACAGGACAGAGTAGAACTGCCCCATAGGGTTTGCAAGAAGCAGCTGGAAGATTTGAACTAGCGACCGTTTGGTTAGCAGCCATAGCACTTAACCACTGTGCCACCAGGGCTCCCACCATATATTAGTGTGTGTATATATACGTATGTCTGTGTGCATATATAAATAAATACACGTATATGTGGATGAGGGAAGAACACACACAACTTCAGGAGAGCGCTTATCCAAGGGAAGAGAGAAGGGATGGGGTAAAACGGAAGAGTGAGCACCTTTAACTGCACAGTTAGTCTGAATGGTATGTAGTAGATTTGATTTGTTACATCAAACTCCAGCTTTTTAAGCTTTAAATAACCCATCACTGGAAGCCATGTTTTAAATCACCAAGACTGATCACACAGAGACTCTCTTAAAGCAAAAAGCTTTACAAATTTAACATCAAACACACCACACTCAGGCCAATGATACTTACTCTCCCCATTTTAGGGGTGTGTGGGAAGGGGAGGGCTGTTGTACTTGATAAATGGGAAAAATATATGCCTTGCCCCATACATGATAAGGTATCAGTAGCTCTACCACTCATCATTGATGGTAAATTCTATTCATGAATCAATAAATAGCAAGCTCTGGATGAATGTGTCTCTTTTGGTGCATTTTTGTTAACAGTTTAGGCAAGAGGGCTTAAATCGTTCCGTAAATGAGTAACCTGAGAAGTACACAGCTGTCCTACGTGGCCGATGAAAGTACAACCTCGGCCTCGGGTGGACTTTCCACCACTCCCTCAGACTCTCGCTATTTTCTAGTTGAGGACTGCTTAGGAGTTAATGGTTATGTTCTGACACTATCCATTCTTCCCAAGTGTTCATTCAATTTCTTCTTATTACTTTCAATCACTACAACATTTTCTAAATATTTCAGTCCTGTGTAAAAAGTTTTTAAATTACTTACCATCACTATATGTAGCAATAATTATAGAGGAACATTAGTCATAAACATAAAGACTCTGTGCTTTTGATAAAACTTTATCCCATGTATTCTCAAATTTAAATGTGTTAACATCCAAACTGTATGCTCAAAGCTTCTGCAGGCTGCCTAAAACAAGTTTGTATCCTTAGGAAGTCACCTGATAAATGTTTCTAAATTTCAGAGGTTCACAATGCAACAGAATGCCCCTACTTACACTTTCTAACAATTAATATCAGGTTCAACTTTCTCTGAGAATTTCCCTTGCTTCAGGCCATGTTTGTATGGCTATAAAAGGGTACAATCCCTGCTGACAGCACACTGATCTTTTTCCTAATGGCAACCACGGGTTCTGTTCCAAAGAAAACTCGATGGGAAAGCTGAACTCTATTCAAGACACATTAACTTAAAGCCTCCAAGTGGTCAGAACTGTTATTATCTATGTATTGCAATTAATCCCACTGTTTCAAAATAACCTTAAGGTGGCTGCTGAAAGATTAGAACTCAGAGATACCCACCACGTTCCTAAAGAAAATGCTTCACATATACAAAAATAACAAGTTGACTAAACCTAAAGTGACTCTGAAAGGCATTCATTTAGCAGATTTGTACATGGAGGTATTGCTTCTCACAAAGAGCTGCAAGAGGGCTGTAACTTCCCAGAACTGATGAGAGAAGGGGAGAGTGCCTTACATCTTTCTTCTCCAAAGTGTTGCTTCATGATTACCATCTAAACCCTGCTGGGCTGAACAGATTGGTTCGATAATTACAGACAATAACTGCAGTGGGCAGGTAACCCTCAGCTGGCACAGGGCAGCTCCCCCGTGAGGACGTCCATATGCAAACGGCACTGATGGAGCGCATTAGGTCCATCTTTGCTGCCGTTGCACAGGCCTGATTAAAGCCAGCCAAGACTCCAAGGTTAGTGTGTCAGCAGATTTGTGATGCATTAGGCAGGAATAAACACGGACACTTTTGTTCATTCGGACCAAAATTAAGGAGGGGTATTTCAGCACTGCCTTGCTTTCCATACCGGAAAGAACGCATTTTCCAGTTTTAGGGGGACAAGACTTCTAAATGCTAATTATAAAACCAGCTATCCAATGCATTCTACCCAAGAACCTGGGCATTCATCTTGTTTGCAAGCTTATTTAATAAAAAGGAGCTTTCTTCATCTTCACGCAGGTGAGTTACACAGCAATGAAAATCAGACCGTATTCAGCCATCAAAAGAAACACCTGTGTTTTAGGCAGTCTGCTTCAAGTAACGCACTGAATTACACTGATCCACACTTCAGCTGGGTATCTCCCGCTCAACTTTTCTGACAATGTATGAAGTTTGGACAGAGAGGGCCAACGGCCTCCACGCCCAGACTAATTAAAACAAAACAAAGCAAACCTCCAAGTTTATCAGCAGCTCAGTCATTTACTCGTTTTATAAGCCAGTGAGTAAAATTCCAAATAATCTGCTTGTGGCGTCTTTCTCCTCTGTCTCTGGGAGCTTCATTTTATTATTTATCAACCTTTTTAGGCTTCAGATAGCACGTATTTTGGTTTTGATTTGAACGGAAAAATGGCTTTACACAGTGACTGTGCTAATCTCTGATTCTGTTACATTCCATACCTGGTCTCTCTGGCGCCTCTGTGTTTATAAATGAAACCAAAATATTATACGACACACAAGAATAACTTGTAGAACAAACTTGGAAGAGTTTTCTTTTAATTCAGCACTGTTAAAATTTCTTCAGAAAGTTGAGTTTGAGGATTATTTCAAAGGGCATTAGAGTATATGTTATACACTGCACTTCTGAAGTGCTCAGATATGCTAGGCTAAATTTTAGTTAATTAGCTGCTTCTCATTTCCAATTTAGAAAAAGGAAGACAAATCAGCTAGATGCATTTGGACTGATAATTTACTAACAGTCTAAACACTGACTGGAGACCAGTTACAGACTTAAAGCTGTCTTCATGGAAAAGAAATAAAAATCTTCAGAGGCAAAAACCAAAGACTATTTCTTTGCTTCTCAAGTCACACATCAATAGATCACCTCTAGATGTGTTCAGCAGTCTCTAAGAAACGCCAATCAGACACACGGCTACATCCAAAGGAGACACGTATCCAGGCACTGTGCTGGTGGCTGTTTAATTACAAAAGCCTTACCCTTGATTACAGAAACGTACAGCCTAACAGTTTTAAGTGTCTGGTATTACACATGTATCAGAGAACGAAGAACTCTAAATACAAACATGTGAATTGCACCAATCAGCTCATTTTATTTTTATTTATTTAAAAACCCGTTGCCGTCGAGTTGATTCTGACTCATAGAGACCCTACAGGACAGAGTAGAACTGCCCCATAGAGTTTGCAAGGAGCGCCTGGTGGATTCGAACTGCCGACCTTTTGGTGAGCAGTCTCTTGAAATCACCGTGCAAATATATACAATTTACAAATTACTATTACATTCCTTAATAGTAACTAAAAAGAAACTATATGGAACATCTCTTCTATGAAGATGAAGGTACAGCAAACTCATCTTGTTATGTACCATATTCATGAAACCAGTGGATTTAGCTAAAACCCACTGTGCAGGCAGAGAAACTGAGGCTGGGAACAGAAGAAAGTAAGAGAATTTGCTCAGTGTGTCTCAGCCGGAGGTGCTGGAGAGACTAGAACTCAGCACTCTGTATTTTTATTCAAATTTCCTTTCCACAGAACTCTGCCGCCTCCGTATGTGACTTTTTAGGAAGGAGTGGCGGTTTCTAGTTGTTTTTTTCAGGTAGTATTTTCTAAAGACTTACGGTACACATACATGTGTGTACTTGGCGTAGACTAACTCTCCTCCCCCACCCCACCATCTCGGCCCTACACGCAGGCTCCCGGCGGCCGCGGGCAACGGTCAACGCGTCTCCCTAACGCTTGCCGAGTGTAGCACATCATTTGACACGTAAACATCTACAGAATGGCCCCTGCAGAGCAACTATTACATAATAACAAAGATATCATTTCATATTTTACTACAAGTCCCTCAAAAACTGTAATATTTAAATGGACATTTTGTAATTACAGACATGTTTTCAGAAAAATCAGGAAAAGGTCAGACAACTGGACAAAGAAATGAAAGAACAGAAAGTGGGCTGGGAAATGATTAAGTCACGTAAAAAGAGGGACAGATGAATTCAAAGACTAATCTACAAATATTCTGCTAGCATCCATTAACGTGATTTATTCTTTTAAACGGTTTCAGGGATTCAAGCTGCAGTAAGAATACTGAATACCGCAGTTTCCTTCACAATAAAACAACCTCCGTCTCCGCAGAGGGGGTGAGCACCACCACGCACTTACTAAGCCCCTACAATGTGTCCGGCGCCATTACAGGCTTCATTCTGCAGCTGGAAGCTGACGCCATAAAGTAGATTAAAGCAAAAAGTGACTTCAGCTATTATAAAAACATTCAGTACACACACACACATAATTCATTTTTAAAACTGCTTGTCTTTAGGTAAGCCCTGTCAGAAATCCTTTTAGAGTTCACGTATCCAATGGAAACCACCTCGCGTGGGATTTCTCTCTAAGAAGGATGAATTTATACATAAATGTTAACACACGTGACTCCATGGTCAAAGGCCGAGGTGGTGCCCTGTTGCTGTGACTCTAACTGTTCACATTCAGATCTTCCTCTCACGGACAGTCTCACCTGTAGCCATCCACCACAAAGCAGGGAGCAGCACAGCTCCAACAACTTTGCTAATTATTAACAGGTCTGAGGACAAAAGTTTAGCAGAAGAAAATGTTTAAATACGTGGCTAACGTAAAGTTTGGAATATCTATGTTCTTCACTCATTCAAACTATCCCAATCTTATAATACCAGGAAGAATTCAGAATTTACTGTACTTATCTTAAAA